ATTAGTGTAGAGGCATTTCAGGCCTCCTGGAGATGTGGTTACTGACCCCCTAGTCCCAGCATTCCCCTTGTCCCCATCTCTTACCTGTTTGTCCGCTGACAGTATTTTCTAATGTATACACAGAAGACTAAAGTATGCAGAATGCATGTTTTATAGGAAATATATTTTAATTATACTTAATTTTATTATGATTTTGGCATTACTAGAAAGCTATAATGGCTCAAGTGGAGGAAAAGCGAAGAAAGAAGCAACTGGAGGAAGAGCAGAGAAAATGGGAAGAACAAGAAGAAGAACGCCGTCTAGCACAAGAACAAGAACTCATGCAAAAGCAGTTTGAAGAAGATATGCTCAGACAAAAAGAAAAGGACGTGAGTGTCAGCATTGTAATAACTTTGTATTCTGTGCAAGTAAATGGCAAGATTTAATTGAGCTGTCAGTTCCTACTGGATGTACAAATAATTGATGAATAATACTATATTATTCAATGCATGAAACAACAGTAGCATTGAAACTGCATTTGCAACCACAATTAAACATCACAAATGACCTTTTTGAAGCAGTATTTTGCTGCACATATACAGTTAATATAAATTAATTGTTTTAAGTATGTTAATGGCAGCGTCACAAAAGCCCTTGCGAGTGCTGTTGAGTTCAAATTCTGCATTAATACAACCCTACAAGGACAATTCCAGTAAAAGTTCTGAAAATAAAAAAATGCCAGTCCCAGAATATAGTCAGATTATTGATCTGCATAGAATCATAGAAAATTGGGACTAGAAGGTCCTTCAGGAGGTCATCTAAGTCCAGCCTTTTGCTCAAGGCAGGATCATCCCTGTCTAAGCCATCTTAGATAAGTATTTGTCTAACCTCCTCTTAAAAATTTCCAAGGATAGAGCTTGTTCATGAATGGAGCTTGATCCTTTAGAGCAGGGGTAGGCAACGTTTTTTGGACGAAGTGCTGAGAAACACCACAATGCTTACCTTGGAAGGTGCCAGAGTGTCGGCATGGCAGAAAAACAAGATGAGGGCAAGGGGTACATGGCAGGATGCTCTGCTTGTGCCCCTTGTCCCCCACACAAAGCTCCTGCCCCCCAGCCCTACTGCCCCTTGCCCCCACCCAAAGCCCCTGCCC